AGTGGTACAATTACTGGGTTATTAAACTAATGAAACCAATGACTCACCTGGTAATCTGAAGGGTTTTCCTCTTCACCACTTGGACCCTTAAATGGAAGCAGCTTAGCTTTGGGTTTTTCTAAAGAAAACACAACAGGGATACCACCTTCAATGCCATAATTTTTCCTCAAACGATGTCTTACCTACATAGGTATGAATCGTATGATTGCAGTAAGAGTAATGTAACTAATATTAGTAACAAGAAATTGAGAACAAAGAAAGTCATAGTTGAAATGTTTAGTGAAAAATTGATAAAATTTAAGGGTTTATTGGGTCTGAAATTAGGATTTGAAGAGGGGAAATGGAGATTTATGCTATTAGGGTAATTGAACAAAAACAGGTTTAAAAAAATGAAATAGTTTTGAAGTTTTAGAATTCATAAATATAGTGAAAATTTGATAAAATTTAAGGGATTTTATTGGGTGTGAAATTAGGATTTGAAGAGGGGGAAATGGAAAAAATTTTCTATTTTGGATAAAATTTGATTTTTGATTAGCACGTCTTGAACAAAAATAGGTTTTAAAAAAATTAATTGACTCAATTTTTGAAGATTTGAAGTAGAAAATGAGAAATTTTGGGTTTTAAGTAGAACAAAATCGATGACAAGAGTAAATTTACTTAAATTTAAAATAATGGAATTTAATTGGCTTGAAAATAAATTAGGGGGCCAAAATCACAGAGTCCAAATTAAAGTGGTCAAAAGTGTAATTTTGAACTTTTTTTTTCACCAACAATAATTTATTAAATAGTGATAAAAGGCAAAGATTGAACTTCTACACAACTTTTCTTATAAAAGGAAGAAATATAAAAGAATCCAGCAACATGATATAAGTTTAACATGTGTAAGTAAAAGTGATTTACACTTGAAATAATAGATGAAAGTAATAACTATCCAGATAATGCATGCCAGCTAGTAAAGTAGAAGATCATCAGGACAGATAAAGTATTCTTTAAAGTAACCGAGAAGCTAGAAACTGGTCATTTAAAAATTATATTAGTCATTGGTGCACACAAGTGCACCTTTGTATAAGCATTTGCAATTAAGTCTGTAAATTGTAATTAGCACATGGTATGGAAAAGCAATACATTAGTTTAGCATTGGGATAATTAGGATATTAGGATGTACATCCACAGGAGGGTATGAGAATTTGTGTTTCACTGCCATAACAATTAATATATATGGTTTAAGCTATAGAAAATGCGATTAAAAAAAGAGGCATACAAAGGAACATTACAGATCGAGATAATGGATCATTAGTTGACTCTCTTAGATCAGCAATGCGTATTCTTGTTGGATCAGCTCTGGCACCAGCCCCTGTGGCAGATAGAACCTTCAAACCCCTACGTACACATGCAGCAAGAAGTGCCACCTATAACATATGACAAACCATGCTTTGACAGCTCAAGCTCATGATAACCAGATATTTGAATATGGATGGAATGATTGTTAATGGTAAAGAGCATAGGAGAACAGTTTTTTTTATCATGTTTTCCAAGGCGATATGTACCAATATAAACTATCCAGCAGACCACTTACATATATGAATCCCAAGATTTTGCATTTTTGCAACTTAGAAGCTAAAGAATTGAAAGAAAGAGAAGTAAAAGACTATGAATATAAAAGAACCATTAGTGTCAGATCAGAAAAGCACTCACAACAGGGAACTGGGGAATGTCTGTGTGATATGATAGAAAGGCAACATGAATGTAAAACACTACAACAATATAGTAAACTACGGAGTAATCTTTAGAGGATACCTTTGTATCAATGTTATCAATACAATCCAAAACAAAGTCAGGGTGGCCTGAGAGAATTTCTTCTTCGGTGGATGAATCATATAGTAGCACTTTGGCATCTATTTGGCACTCTGGAAAGATAGATAAGAAATGCTCCTTAAGGCACTGAGCTTTCGGGATGCCAACATCTGCTCTTGTCGCAACAGCATGTCGATTTAGTGATGAAAGAGAAACCTTCTCATTTAACAAATAAATAAGTACAGATATAGTGTGCAAGGCAAAGGCCTATAAAAATTCTAGAGCTGGGCAAATATGACACTAAAAGATACAACTACTTCATTTTATATGATTAGAATAACTACTAACATACTATTCATGATAACTAAAAAAAAAGGGAACCAAGTAACATAATCTGTTCCCCAATGAAAACTCCAGCTTCTTAAACTATAATAGTTGATGAATTCGCATTTTTTTTAATAGATATAACATTTTCCTTTCACAATGTAAACAGGTGAAATTTTCCTGTTTGTTGGTGGCAACAAAATCTTCTACCATGGCAATTAAACATTATCAAGGAGAGAATCGGTCTGAGAAAAAACCTGGTCAAAATCTACAAGAAGAAGCTTGCCAATCCCTGACCTCAAGAGCATAGTAGCAGCATGACTACCAACACCTCCAAGACCAATGACCACTACATATGATGCAGTCACTTTCTGCTGAGACTCAGAGCCAAAAAACTGAATATTCCTAGTTACAGCATCGACATTCCACCCAAAACCAGTTTGATTAATAGATATCCAAGAAAATATAAATATATCAAGAAAGTGCCATTCATATACACCCACTGTAGATAAGAAAACTTCTCCCTACCCTGACTAACAAAAATACAAAACCCAACATGTTTTGGTTTCTCTTCTCTCAGCTCACTCACATCAAGCTATGATCAATGGGTCCTCAAGGAAAAAAAAGTTGTCTTCTAAAATCGAATCAGTGTAATAACAATTCATTGTATATCCATGATGGTGGAGTCATGGGACAACATGTAAAGGATTAAGGATGAACATGTATTGCTATGCAACATGCCATATCCAATCTAAATTAAACATCAAGACACAGTAACTGTAAAAATTAGCGCCAAGCATAAAGGCCAATTATTTTGGCAATTGATGCATGCACTAAAACTGTTCCTAGACATAAAAGAGCTCATAATCTACTTGGAATAAGATTGCAAGTGCTTAGAGAATGTTTTACTTTCACCAATTAAGTCAACAATGTTAAACAGAGTTGAAATTAGAAGAATTCAGAAATAACTTTCAGAGAAAATGCTAAATTAATTGGTAACAACTTGCAATACCTTGTCAGCTGTTCTGAAACAATTTCATCTTTTAGAAGATCTTCGTTAACCACCCTATCATTCTTCTTTCCAACAATAGTGCATCCCTCAACACCTGTATGAGACACAAAGTCCAACACTTGTAACGACGCACAGAACAGCAATCTTATTAAAACGTTTATAATTGACGACACATTGATATTCGTCTTTAACACATGAATGATTCTGCAGCGAAAGAGTAGGATATGAGCCATAAGCCTATAACAGATAGCAAACATTATGCATTCAACCTCTGATGACATTCATAAACTAACTATTACAAGAAATACCTGCTCTACAAGCCCTAAAGTTTAAGAAACTATTTTATGTATGCAGGGTTTTTTTTTTTTTTTTTCCATTTGGTAATTATATCACTAACACATGGAAAAGAACACATCAGAAGGGTTCACTATATCACATATTCAGATTTAGCCTGTAATACTGAACCCTTGGAATACAAATATTAACATTTACAAAACGACAACATATATGTTCTATTTTGATTAGAAATGAAATAGAGAGGAGAGAATAAGAAGGAAAGAAATAGGTATGATAGAAGTAAAGGGGAAAAACATAGTATAAAAATATGTTGTTTGGATGGATAGAAATAAGGAAATAAATGGAAAAGTTTCTCTTGTTTAGATGAGTGAAAATGTAGGTGGAAATAAACAAACAAATTGAATATAAAAAAAACTGTTTGTATTAATTAAAAAAATTCTTTTTATGATATTATTTTTTCTTAATATAAAATATTTCTTATTTTAATCTTATATAAAAACATTTAATTAAAAGGTGAAAAAAAAAAATGCAACTCACATTTACCAAAAAACACTTCTTCCCTGCTATTTTTCCTCTCAATTCTCAAACAAACAATGAAATTTGGTATTTCCATTCTATGTTCCTATCTATCCATTCCCTTCCCCTTTATTTACTCTCAAACAAATATACAGTTAGAAATTAAGCATTGACAGATGGTGACTAATTGCAAATTCAACTCACCAATATTGATGATTGATGAGTATGTGAGTGAATGTACAATTTTTATAACAAAGATCTTCATTTTAGGCAAAGATGAAGGGCATCATTCAAAAGCAGGAATACATTAAAAAAAATGTAGACAAGTTGGCTACAGCTATTCATTTCACAGCTAAATTCCATATTTTCAGGACACTTACCATTGAAGTCGGTTTTAACATTCTTACTGCACTGCCGTACACCTCTTCTGCAAACATCACAGCAAACATTCAGTACCATCAAAAGTAAAATAAAAACTTCAAAGACCAAAACAAAAAACAAGAAATCCACTCAAAACCGCATAAAATCAAAATATCCCGTTGCTCAACGCCCCAAAAGTTGAACAACTTGATCCAACCAACCCATCACGTTCTAGAGACTCAATTAACGCAAAGTTTCAATTTTCAAGTATTAACACCAGCCCTTCTTTTGGGGGTTCCAACAAGCAAAGTACCAGTTCAGTGTCATTGCATATATACATACCACAAATCAAAAAACAGTTCATTAGTTCAAGGAGAGAACATGAGAATAGAAGGGAAAAGAAGAAGAAGTCAAATACTTTTGAGATTGAAGAAGCCTTAGAAGAAAGAAGGTAGAGACAGAACCCAAAAGAGCACCTCCTCCCAACAATGCCAAATATTTCCCTTTTTCCATTTTCACGGCCAAAAAAACAACCCCCACAAACACAACACAACTGTTTTTCAAGGTTTGTTTTCGGGTCTTAGTAACCGAGTCGGGTCGGGTTAAATTACCCGATTCAATTCGCGGACCCTGGACTACTTTTTCGAAGTAAAATGAGAATACACACGCAATTTGAAAGATAAATAAAATAGTAAAAGTTAAGAATTGAAGATTTTTGAGGGTGTCGAGGGTTCAGCTTGAAGACTGTTGGTGTTTTCAGCCCTTTTCCCTAACGCTACATGAAGAAGAACGGAGACATGGATACTACTGTCAAGAAAAAGGCATTGCCTACGTCTCGTGCTAGCTTGAGTCCCCAGAGGAAAGACAAATGCATAGTGTTTCCCCTTGTGAGGTTCGTACTTTGGTGCACTTCTTCGTGCATTTAACTCTTACTTCAATTTTCCATTTTTCTTTTCACAATTTTGCCTATGGAAGTGTTTATTTGTTACCATTTACTTTCTTTTTTTCCTTACAAAAAAGTAACACACCCATCATGATTTTTTTTTTGTTTTACCTTTTTTGTTCTTCGCATGAGAATGACACAATAGTCCTTAAACACCTTCTGCTTAGGCATTGAGTTGTGCTCATTTATTGATTTGATTAATTTTCTGGTAATGTATGTGTTGGGAACTATGTTTGAGTCTGCAACGATGTGTACATTTGATTATAGCTACTCATGTACTTGTCAAGACATGCCTCAACATAAAACTATGCTTCCTCAATACGTGTTTCATTTTGTCTATTGTAACCCTGTTTGGATAATCTTTTCCATAAGCACTTAGAGAAGAAAACGAGAATGTAGTAAGTTTCTTCGTAAGCTAAAATCAAGTTATACACCTTAACTTTTGGAGGACTTAAAATGAAAAGAGTTTCTGTATAATTTAAGTGCATAATTTGATTTTAGTTTGTGCGAGATGCTTAATTGATTTTACTTTCTTATTTTATTCTTCTATACTATAAGTGCTTGTGAGGAACAGCGGAAGTTTATCCAATGCCTATCTTATTTGCTTAATATTATACTCAATATGATTTTGACTGTTCCTATCTGCATGTGCATACAGGTACAATGAATTACGTCAGCCTGTTTGTCAGGTTTGTAATGTGGTTATGGTGGAGGCTATACGTGCACACCTAACTTCTCCTGAGCATATCCAGGTAATGATATTTACAATCTTGTTCGGGTCATGCTTGCATATTTTAACACCTCTCAATACCAATGGTATTCTCAAAACTCTTGGTTTATGTTTAGATTCATGAATTTTTGGGGATGGGGAGTACCTTGTTTTATAATTTGTTTTCCTTTGTGTCTGTTTCGTGGCCTCCATTACCCCAACCCCACCCAGAAAGAGCTTACCTTATGGAATGAGTTTTTGGGCAGATAATGGAAAATTTGAAGGCTAACACTGCAAGATCAACTGTGCTTAACAATGCAAAGCATGTTAATGGCACCAACTTGCCCAAGGCAAATCCAGAACAACCTCAAGTCACAGAAGGTCAACTGCCTGAATGTCCACAAGATGTGCCTAAACATCAGTCACCAGCAATGCTTCCACGAGATTTTTGTGATGACAGTGGTAAAATAAGAACAAGATCTGGTAAGAATTTGGTTTAGAACATGAAGCTATATGTGTTTGTAATCTCGTACTTTAAATTCAGAGTTGCATGCAACAGGCATTGATAGTGATATTTTTTCATCCGTACATATTCTGTGTGGAGATATATAATATCTAGCTTGTTCATTTACACAATTACTGGTATAATTCCTTTTTTTTTTCTTGTAACTTCCGCTTCTTTTGTAACTTAAATGATAGGGAATTTTCTAAGGACTCTTTTTTGGGGTTTTGCAATGTTCATTGGCCTTCTTTATTTGGAGTTGGTGTCTTGATCTTTCTGTGGTGTTTCCTTTCTTTCTGAAGATTCTTTTTGTGGGTCTTGTTGGCAATGTTCATTGGTCTTTTTTATTCAGAAAAAAGGGTCCCTTGACCCTTCTGTGGTGTTTTCTTGCAAATCCTTTTTTCAATTTCTAATGCATTTGTTATCTAGAAGTGCTTTCCTTATTCAAATCCCCTTGTGTAAATCCAATGCTCTCTCTAAGGTATAAACTTTTATATGCTGTGGTACTTAACTATTTTAATCAGAAACAGTACTTCTCTTGCATCGTGACCTTGGTCTCAGCCATGGCTTAAATACAAAGAATTAGAAAAACCTTATCCAAAGTTTCTAGTCCTACCTAATACTCCCTTCACCAAGGTAGATGTTTACAGTACCCAAAGAATTGAATAACTTTTACAGAACACTACCTTAATAAGTTTTTTGGCATTCTTCATAAACTATCCAAATGCTGAAACCTTTTCCCTTTGGTACATCCAATATAATTCATTCATTTCATTCCAACATTTTTATCATATATTTAACCAAAGTGATTTATTTTTTTTCTAGTTTCAAAAGTAACTGAAGAGATGGGTCTTCCTAAAGGACCAGAGCACTGGGAATCCATCGACTCCACAAGAATGAAATCCAAAGATTTTCCTTCCACAGGTGAAGTTTTGGGATCTTCAAAACGAGGAAGACCACGAAAAACAAAGGTAACTCCCATCTGAATTGTTTGAATTACTTAAAACTCACTGCATTGCCTTTTGCTGAATTTCATTTCTTCATCCTCACAGCCTACCAAGTTCATAAGCAACCAAACATCCAATCCCTCATCAACACCCCGAAGATCTAAAAGAATAAAACATGTGGCGGATAAAACTGCCAAAAATATGCCTGAGGTATCTTCATCTGAGGATGTAATGAAGGTAAAATTAATAACATTACTAAAGGTAAAATTATTTACATCATTACATGTCGAGTACCCTTACTACTTGGTAAAATTATTTACATCATTACATGTCGAGTACCCTTACTACTTGATCAATTTAACATTTCTTCCAATTTAACATTTCTTCCAATCATAACAGGAGCGTGCTGCAGAAAATTCACAAGTAGATGGCAAAGAAGTCTCTTCAGATATTGACTTTTTAGTAATCTACAAAAGAAAAAGACTACCTCGAAAGAGGGCTTCAGTATCTCCCCCTCATCAAGATCCTCCTGCAGCTGCTCCAGCCAATGTTGATACTCCTCTTGTTGAATATACAAATACTGCTGAGCAAGTATTGAGTAAAAGCCTTGTCGAAGAGGCCAAGAAGGTGAACCCTGCTCCAGACAATTCTCAAGAACAGGTTGTTTACAGCAAGGATCAAGAATCCCCAGATCAAGTTGACCCAAAGACTGATGAAGTCTCTAATGTAAACACCCCACTTGATGTAGAAGCCATTAACAAGATGATCGAAGATGACCCTTTGAGTGCTATTGAAAATATTCTGACAGGAAAGATTTCCATTTCTTCCAAGACTCCTCAATCTACTTCTCGGTTAGAACGACCAAAAGGTCAAAGCACCTCTGCAGATGTTCTGGCAAAAGAGCTAAAATACTTAATCCAGACCTTTAGCTTAGGTGATTTTATTACAGACTATGAACAAATGTCAAAGGTCCTACTTATTCTTGAAGAGTTGCAGAAGAATGAGAAGTCTCTTTCTCTTGCCCAGCAAGCATTTATAAAGGCCTTCAGACTCTTCATCAAGAAAGCTGTTACCCACCGCAAAGAATGCTATATAGCTGGAGTGAAGAAAGTCGAGTTGAACAGAGCTAAAGAAGATATCCTTCTCAAACTCCAAGAAACTAAAAATACACAGGAACAAATCACTACGTCTATTTTTAATGCCAACAACAGGGTCATTGAAATATCTTCTTGTATTGAACAACTTGAAGAACAATTATCCAAACTGAAGGAGGAGAGGGAGACCTTTCAGTTGGCTATTAATGAAGGCGAGAAACAAAGGGAGACATTAAAGAATGATAGCATCGTATGGGCTCATCAAGCTAAAGACCTGGTTTTTGATCTCGCAGAGATTGAGGCCAAAGTAAAAATTCTTGGAGAGCAACATGAAGCAGACAAAGATGCATATGTCCAATTTAGAGCATCCTTTCCTTTTTAATTTCCGATTGAACAATTGGTAGTTGTAATTACACTCGTATGTTTAACTGGTGTATGGTTAGTTTATGTTCCTTCAGGTATTTACCATTTAAGGATTTAGACCTGATTAAGGGTAGAATTATAACCAGGTCCGCATATCTATCTACATATCATGATGATTTCATGATGGTTTAACAAAACACGCACAAAGCCTTAGAGTTGTGTGCAATGACAACAGACAAACAAATATGCACTGGTGAAATCGATCAAGTGAATGCAACGTTTGAGAAAGGGAGAAACACATAAAAGTGATATCTAGGGAATGATTTGGGTGGTATAAGATTTTCCAAATTGCTCACCAAACTTGTTGCCAAGAGAGAAATTATTTATATTGTTAATTTTGTAATTCTGAAATGAGCAAGTGTAATAGACCATGTAGCATATGCTATCAAATTATGTGGTGCTTCTTGCCACTTATTTTAATGAGGTAGACAAATGTGCTAAGCTCCATATTAACACTCTTAAAATGCTTCTGATTTTTGATACTGGAAAAATGATCATGTAAGAACCACACCCATTTGTGTCAATTGATATGAATTATGAAGTCAGGGATTAAAAAGTTTCACTTGATTCTGTAAATTGAATTAAATAACGGGTATAATTGATTCTTGATCTGCACTATCATTTTTTAGGTTCACATTTTTCCTGTAATATGCACATCCTTTGACACCATTAAAATGTATCAGATTGATATGCACATAAATATTGTGACTATTTAAACACATCTAAAAGCGTTTAAGGCTACTTGGCCTTAAGCCAAGGCCCAAGAGGCCTCATCGATGGTTTAGACCCATTTAGCATTCTTTTCCACATGAATACTTTATCATGAGATTAGTCTAATCACTCATACAATACAGGTGGCTAATGTACTTTTAAAAGTGTCACAATTAATACATTGCCTGCAACATCTCTTTGTTCTCCATTACTTTGTGTCTCTTGAGCAGTGACAAGATCGACCTTGGCCATCATGTGAAGGTTCGGTTTGCCAATATTTAAAGGCTCACTGCTTTTTACACCAAAATGATACGACTAATTGGTAATCAACTATTCACCTCAGTACCTCACCAAAACCTCACTCCCATAAATATTATAAGTCCCCTTCCAATCAAATATTTTTCTTAATTCTAATACATGGTTATATTTTACTTGATTCATTACTAACTTAAATGTTGGAGTCTATACAAATGGCACCATGTCAATCCACTTTACTTAACCACAAGTTGAAGAGTAATTCACCAAAAATAAAAATCTCAATATTTATTAATAGAGTTGATTGCATAGTTTTAAAAACCGGACCGGTCATCGAACCGGTTAAGGTATTGGGTCAGTGGGTCAAAGGTTGAACCGGTGGGTCACTGGTTGAACCGCATGACTCGATTTTTATTTATTTTTATTAAAAAATATTCATATTAAATATATTTATACTTATAAATTTTAATAAATTCATATCTTATTTTAAATTTAAATTCTTTTATCTTATTTAAAATTATTTTTATTTTTATTTTGTAAAAAAATATATAAAAAAATTACATGTTAAACGGTATATTAATACAAATTAAAAATATAAATAATATGTACATATATAATATGCTTGCAATTAATATCACAAAATAATATATGTAATATTTACATAGATATTGAATTATTAAATATATAATTTAAAATTAATAATATACTATAAAAGTTATTTAAGTTGTATATATTGCAAACAAATATATTAGAACAAGTAGTCATTGTTATATTTAATAAGACTCCTTGCTTTTTCATTAAGAGATTCAATTTTCATTATTATTTTTGTGATTTATGGTCCCTTAAAAAATTTATAAAAAAAAAAAAAAAAGTGGTTGAACCGGTTTGACCCACCGGTTCACCGGTTGAACCGGAAAATTGACCGGTTCAATCCGGTTTGAAACGGGTCGACTGCATAACCGATCCAACTTCAGATTCGGACCGGCTGGACCACCGGTTCCCGGTCCACCCGGTCCGACCGGCCGGGTCGGTCCGGGTTTTAAAACACTGGTTGATTGAGTTGATATTATATATCCAATAATATGATATTGGTAACGGGGTCGTCAAATTTGGCAAGTAGGTACTTTACATGAAAAGTGTTTATTTTGATTTTTGAGAGGGTTGAAATCAACTTTGACAATCTTTTTAATATTTTAAGAAAAGGTTAGTAAGCCAGTTGAAAATAAATATACATAAAAGTAACTGCAAGTAACTAAACCAATATGACACTTAAGAGATAGTAATGAAAATAAGTTAGGACTTATTTTATATCATGTTCATAGAATTGTTTGTTAAATAATGAGTTGAAACAAGTCAAAACTCCACAAGTTAAAATAGTAATACTTTCTTTAATAAAGTCTCAATTTTAAATTTTATAGATGAAAAAAATGATTAAGAAGAAAAATTAATAATATTTTATATTAATAACATAATTATAAAAAAAATAATGAGTTGAGGTCAAATCAGATTTGTTTATTAAATAAGTTAGGTAAGTATCATTATATAAAAGAAAACTATGTAGTTAAATAAGCCAAGTTTCACATTATTTCAAAACATTTTTAAGATTAAAATGTCAGCTTATTAAATTAAATGCAAATAATATAATGACAATAATATTGTTATTCTTTTTATCAATAGAAAATATTATAAAGATAGTAAAAAAAATTGAAGATATTGGTTGTATATAATAATATGTTTATTTTATTAAATTTTTATTATAACATTTTTGATATTGTATACTTGTTAGTATATTTAAAAGGTTTAAATTTGTTTAATTGTTTATAAGTATAGAATCGTTATTTCATCTAAAACGACACTTATAACTTTATTTAATAGATCTTACTATTCTATAAAACGAAAATAGGTCTTACTATAAATAAAAAAGTTATAAATATGTTTTTTGTTGGGCTTAATTTTTTAAAAAGTTTAGTTTAAAACGCCCTTCTATCAAATAAATAAATTAAACTCAAATTTTTAATTGTATCAAATTCAAATTTTTTTTTCTAAAATCTATTTGACTACATAAATCTTATTCCCACTCGGAAAACGAGTATAGTAATTCTTTTTATCAGTAGGAGAATAGCAATTTCAAAAATAATTATGACATTTCTGAGAAATTTTCACAGAAAATTAATGATGAGTCATTACTCATTACCATTTACTATTTTATATACGTACACCAATGTTTTCACCAATAAAAAAAAGAGACTATGTGTGCCAACGTTTTGTTTTTGGTCAAATTAAGTATGCCAACGTTTATGCGTATTATATTAATTTATATAGGCTAAATTAAAATTTGTTTAGTATAATATTTAATTTATAAGTTTCATCTCTCAAATTTTAATTATATAATTTTAATCTTTAATTTTATCCGATCATTAAATATTTATTCATTAATTATTAAAATTATAATATTAATGACAATTTTACATCAAGTAAATCAAATTATAATTAATATTTAATAATATTTAAATTAAAATATTTTATTTCTAATCTCTTTTGTTTACTTTACTCGGAAATGAAGATAAAATTAAATTTAAATTTAAATTTAAATATTATTAAATATTAATTATCACAATAATTATCTACTTAATATCATATCATCAATATTTGATAGTTAAATTAAAATTATAATTTTAAAGAATAAAAAATTAGAAATCAAGAAAGTAAAATAGGGATGAAATATTATAGAAGATAAAAATACAATTGGAGCCCAATTTATTTTATATACTTGGGATTCCTGCAGTTGAAAGTTGATATGCAGAGAAACTGATCCCATTGGTACAGTGTGTGTCAATGTGGAGTCACCCACTGTTTGTTTCTGCAATTTATATTAAGAGAAATTTGATGGTACTCATTTTATTTAAGAGGGTAAAGTTTTTTATATTTTATATTTTTAATAATTTATTTAAATAATCTTTATGATATTTTATTTTTTTAATTTTTAAATTATTTAATTATTTTATTTTATTTTATATATTCTAATTTATTTGTAATAATATTATTATATATTTAAATAGTTTAATTTTAATAATTTTTTAAGTATATTTTAGATCGATCAGTAGGAGAATAGCAATTTCAAAAATAATTATGACATTTCTGAGAAATTTTCACAGAAAATTAATGATGAGTCATTACTCATTACCATTTACTATTTTATATACGTACACCAATGTTTTCACCAATAAAAAAAAGAGACTATGTGTGCCAACGTTTTGTTTTTGGTCAAATTAAGTATGCCAACGTTTATGCGTATTATATTAATTTATATAGGCTAAATTAAAATTTGTTTAGTATAATATTTAATTTATAAGTTTCATCTCTCAAATTTTAATTATATAATTTTAATCTTTAATTTTATCCGATCATTAAATATTTATTCATTAATTATTAAAATTATAATATTAATGACAATTTTACATCAAGTAAATCAAATTATAATTAATATTTAATAATATTTAAATTAAAATATTTTATTTCTAATCTCTTTTGTTTACTTTACTCGGAAATGAAGATAAAATTAAATTTAAATTTAAATTTAAATATTATTAAATATTAATTATCACAATAATTATCTACTTAATATCATATCATCAATATTTGATAGTTAAATTAAAATTATAATTTTAAAGAATAAAAAATTAGAAATCAAGAAAGTAAAATAGGGATGAAATATTATAGAAGATAAAAATACAATTGGAGCCCAATTTATTTTATATACTTGGGATTCCTGCAGTTGAAAGTTGATATGCAGAGAAACTGATCCCATTGGTACAGTGTGTGTCAATGTGGAGTCACCCACTGTTTGTTTCTGCAATTTATATTAAGAGAAATTTGATGGTACTCATTTTATTTAAGAGGGTAAAGTTTTTTATATTTTATATTTTTAATAATTTATTTAAATAATCTTTATGATATTTTATTTTTTTAATTTTTATTTAAATAATTTAATTTTAATAATTTTTTAAATATATTTTTATCTTTTCACTTAAAATTTTTGAATTTCTATATTTTAATTTTAATAATATTTTAAGTATATTTTTTG